TCTCTGAAGTGAGAGTAAAAAGTGAGTAACAACAGAAAGTACGGAAACCAAAAAAGCAGTTTTCCTGTAAAAACGTCAACCAGTGATCGCTTGACACTTGTCATGATTTTACCAGAAGAAAAAGTTGTTTCACAGGATTTTACGTGAAAAGTATTGGATCAGAGCTATTTCTTGAAAAATTAGAATTTGTTTAAAGTGCTCTTGTTCCAAGAAATGTTGAAGTGAAAACCAATAATTAAAATTTAGTGAAAATTTAAGTTTTTCACTTTCCCATTTTAAACGATTTTCAAATATTATTAATAAAATTTATCAAGCATCGATATTTATTGAGTTATCAATATTTATATAGTTAACATTTATAGAAACGTAACAGTCGTGAACGAGCAAATCGTCACGTAAAAATGCATATTTCGGATTATAATAGTCGTGAACGTACTGCCCGTCTCTTATACCGAAGTACGAGAAATGTCGTTGTTTCATATAAAAGCTTCACCAACCGATTAACAGTTTTTGACTTATGCCAATATTCACGATAAATGTGAGACATGTGCCACTGTTCAGTAGTGAGCGTTACTACTTCAATTTCTTGACAAATGAAACAATTGCACCCCGTGCCGGATTGGTAACAAGTAGGCATATGTCCATTTTCCACAGAAAAATCAACCTAATCCGCTATATATCTCAAAAACATGAAATTTTGAGTTGTGTCTATATGTACATATACATATATGTAGGTAGTATGTGCTTATGTAGTTCAAATCAAAACTGCCTCTTAAATTGTTGTACAACAGTGCGGATGAGTAACATAAGCTGAACTAACTGACAGTTGTGTACGTACTACATACATGCAGTTTAACAGTTCTATTTCAACCACGCGAGTAAATACTTGTATATTCGCTAATTACAAAACATTTTTTTTAAATTAATTGACTTAAGCGAATTACCCGTACTTATGCATAAGGCAGGGATCAATTGGTTTGTACATTTGTGTAGATTTTTACATACAATTTGGCAGTTACAGAGTGGTTTTATCTAGAAATTTTTATCGAGAATGAAAAAAATATAAAAACAAGAGATAACAAAATTTTCAAATAACACCAGTTTGTTACCGTCAAAATTTATAAATCTGTAAAAATGTACAAATCATGTAATCCCTGCTTAAGGAAATACATATGTTTGTACATATAGATCCTTAACCATAAAAAAAAAGACATAAGTGACATTTTTTCAAAATTTTATTTTTGATGCAGAAATTCATCTTGATGGTCTAGAAATATTTTTTGAAAAAATGTTGATGAAGCTGAAGATAAAGATAAGTAGACTGTTATGATCGCAGGAGATTTCAACGTCAAATTTTCGCTGGCCAAATCTGATGAATTGACAAAATTTTTTAAAGAAAAATTTTCACAGGAAATGGTTAATGGTAGAAATTGTCCAACACCAAAAGGAGCGGCCACCATTAATGTGGTTTTTTCCAGAGATGTTAATAATATTGAAATAAAACATTTCATATCTTACTTTAGTTACCACAATCTACTAGTTAATATTGTAAATATGGATATTTTCTCAGCCACAAATAATATTTAAACTTTGCAGGTTGGTTATAAAAAACTAGTAATTTTTAAACAAAAAATAAAACCGACTTCAATTCTCATATAAAATTATAAATATATGTATATATATATATATATTTCATGATCTAATGATCGGATCTAAACCACATTAGTATGGGACCACCTCTGAGACACTACTACTTTTCCGATGCAAGAATTACATACATAAAAAAAAATAAAAAGATATATATTCCGACGAACTGAGAACCTCCTCCTTTTTTAGAAGTCGGTTAATAAAAAATTAAAAGTCGTTAAAAAAATTTAAATAAATATGTGTTTTGTATATNTAGTATGGGACCACCTCTGAGACACTACTACTTTTCCGATGCAAGAATTACATACATAAAAAAAAATAAAAAGATATATATTCCGACGAACTGAGAACCTCCTCCTTTTTTAGAAGTCGGTTAATAAAAAATTAAAAGTCGTTAAAAAAATTTAAATAAATATGTGTTTTGTATATTACACACACACATTTCTTTCTTTCTGGCATTTCCTCTATTAAGTTTCCCTTCTTCCGCGCGTAGGGACTACACGCACTGAGTTTTTTTATTATCATTTTAATGTTATGTCTGATGGAATTCAAATATGCGACCACCTAAAAGAGAACATGTAAAAAATAAGCAAATATGTACATNTTACACACACACATTTCTTTCTTTCTGGCATTTCCTCTATTAAGTTTCCCACACGGACTACACGCACTGAGTTTTTTTATTATCATTTTAATGTTATGTCTGATGGAATTCAAATATGCGACCACCTAAAAGAGAACATGTAAAAAATAAGCAAATATGTACATAATGTTAAATAAAGTAAATAAACAAAAATGTAAAAAATCTTTTTTTTTTTGTATTTTATGTCCAAATGTAGTTAGCTAAAAGTTAGCTGACGTCTAATGCATAGGAAACCAGTGCTTACTTTTTGCGGCCATCGCGCTTCAAAAGTAGTTAGTTACGGCCGATGTAAATAAGTAATAAAAAGGTACAACTGGTTGACTGCTGGGCAGTTGTAAGTTAGCTATAAACTAGCCCTGTTTCCTGCAGGGTATATATGTATGTACATATGCACGTACCTGTATGCATACCCTGAGGATAATGTATCTAACTATAAGTTAACTTGAAGTTGATTAGGAAGAAACTAAAGCTCATTATTATCTGTAAATTTCCTTTGAGGAAAGCAAACTATATTTCTATGGCGATGTCCGGGAAATAGTCAAGGGTGGTTACCTCTGCATTAAATGCCAGCTAACTTGTAACTAACTACTTTTGCACATAAAATATCAATAAGAAAAACAAACTATTTTTTTTTTGTTTTTTTTTTTTACTTTTTTAATTTATTTATTTTATTTTATTACATTTCATATTTGTTCACATACGG